TAAGGGAAAGATATTCACCAAAAAGTTATGGGATTATTATTCCTAAGCGATTTGATTATGGCAGAGTTTTATTCCCTTCATTTTACTTATTTTTCTGCCATATTTATTTATCACCCCCCCCCAGGAGCTGGGGATTAAACACACCAAGCTCAAATGTCAGTTTCCCCTAAATTTTCCATAGTCGGCATGTATTCCATTTGTAGAAAGAAAAGAACACAAATCAGAGCAAGAGATTCTAAACGTTGGGAGCTTGGATTATCATCCTGACTGTACACCACCCCATGCAGGTTTCTTCCCTCAGGGCAGTGGAGCTAGAGATTCTCGGTGACACCTCTCAGAACCTCCTCAGGGAAGCACTGCCACGGTCACCTCCCTCGGTGACGCTGTGGTGGTCATTCAACAGCTACCATCCAACTGCTTTCAAAAGAGAGCCCTGAACAATAGGAACAAGAGGGCAGATTTCAGCCCCGCCTTCTTGACCTTCCCACCCCCATCTTAAGGCTCAAGAATATCTCAATTCTACTATAATGACAAGAGAAGACTATTTTATCAGAGTTTAGTTTTTGAAAAACTCTGTGCAGAGAAATGCTTCAGATGAACTGTCTGCATACACAGGTGCTCTTAGAGGACCAGAACTCACTGTCAGGTGACAGCATTTGGGCAGGATTATTTATTCTGATGCACTGAATTCCACTATCTTGCTAGAATACGGACGGAGCCTTGAAGATGACATTCGCTCTGACACATCATTCATGTTCCAGCGGGTGCTGGTGTCTCTGTCAGCTGTGAGTTGCTTCCTCTGTCACTTGCTTCTGGTGGGGGATGGGTTTTATTGAATGCTTCCTCTCCATCTTTTTAGCGGTCATTCTCATCCTTTCAGCCCTCAACTGTGGATATTCTGCAGGTGTTGCTCTTGGGCCTCTCTTGTTTGTTTGTTTTTTGCTTTTCGTTTTATTTCTCCCTCATTGACCCAGGCCCCTCATGTGTGCCCATTTATTGTACTCTAATTGAGTATTCACAAGTATCTAATCACAAGTGCCCTTGTTGCAAAGTGCACTGAGAGCTCTGAAGATGATTACAAGGTAGTTCCTGTGTTTATCAGTTTATATTGTCACAGGGACATATTGTCATCAGGACCACAAATTGCTATAAGGCAAGAAAAGATGAAGTACCAAAGGAGAGGCAGATAGCAAAAGGAAGATTCAAGGAGAGACTGTGGTTGCAGAAGTGAAGATGAGGCTTCATGGCAGATGCTGGTTCAGGGAGGACTGGGGGAACACTAGGATTCCAAGAGGCAGAGATGGGGGTGGGCACATTCCAGAAAGGAAGAACAGCAAGAACAAGGTGAGAAGGGAAGAAGCACTTCCCAGGGAACAACTGGCAGAACAGAAGGGCTGTTTATTCTAGAAGCAAGCTGGAGGAATGGGCTGAGATTCTATGCTGGGAGGAGTTTACATTTTATTTGAAGACTAGTAGGGAACCACCAAGGTTTGGGGACAGTGGGTGATGTGATGATGATGAAGATGACCAGGTGAGAAGTTACAGTAGTGATCCACTTGAGAAATAAAACAGGACGGGACTAGTGGGGCACAGAGCAGCGCTGCCAGAAGAGACACTTAACGATACTTCCATGACCTCCATCTTCATCCCTGACCTCCTTCCTGGGCGTGAGAAGTGTGTTTCTCACTGCTTTTTAGACATTTCCTTATGAATATTCTACCACCACCTCAAATCGCTTTAGTTTCCTAGATCTGAGCTCATTTTCCTCTTCTCCCTGACTTGCCTCTGTCTGTTAGACTGTTGCTATTGCGTGTCCTACACCTGAAGCAGAACCTTGGAGCTCAGCTCTTCCACCTCACCCTAGCTTCTGATGTTACTTAAATAATGCCTGCCTGTTTCTCTTACTTCCTTCTCATTTTCCCCTTTCCTCCCTTATTCACTTCCCTGATGAGCCATGCTTAGACCATAGAATATTAAGGCAGCACAATAATAAAAATGGTCTGACCAGAGGAAAATGGTCTATGTTGTCACTCTTTAGCATTCTCTGAGACATCACCATGGCCCTCCCATGGACTTGGACTGGTATGTTTGAGGGGGTTGCTTTGCATCAGTTCCTCAGTCCCTCCTCAGGTCCTGGATTCTCTTAACTCTCCACTGTTCTCAGCCCTTTCTGGTACAAGTTGATGAACACAGATTGGCTAATTAGGAAGGCTGAGTCAGCTGGAAAGTCAGACACAGCAGTGGGAAGGTGGAGAGAGGGGAAGGGGAGGTGAAGGGAGTATTCTCTTCCCTTCAACTGCAAGAGACCCTTCTGCAATATTGGCAGCCACAGTGGGGCTCACATTTCTGTTGGGAACCTTCTCTGTGCACAGATTAGAGCAACTGTGCAAGAACACTCAGAGTCCCACCCCTTATGGCGTTTTGTCTCGTTGCCGTGTCCTTGGATTCCCAGGTGTTCTGTCTTAACAGTGCCCCTCAATGTTCATGGATGCTCTCATTCTCTCTGGTTTGTTTTTCTCATCCTCAGGGTGGCAGGGATGAAGGGAATTACCTGGATGACGCTCTCATGAGACAGGATGCCCAGGTTGGTAGAACTGCTTGTTCCTTTTCCAACTTTCTTCTCAGAAATAGGCATTTTCTGTTGCAAGGTATACTAGCCAGGTTGAGGTGTGTTATAAATAAAAGACTCTCACAGGTTATCTTTAACACAGAGATCATTGCAGGGGTTCCTAGGATTTGACAATGTGACTGGACATCATTATTTCTGCACTCCTGGGCCCCAGACTTCTTAACACCAGGTCCCTTGTGTGCTGATTCCAAAGAATCACTGACTGACTGCTTTTTGTTTTACAGTGCTGGGGATGGAACCCAGGGCCTGGTCCATGCTATTCAAGTGCTCTGCCACTGGGCTACATCCCCATCCCTTACTTCTGAATCACTTGGAGGTGAAAGAAACTGCCTTTGCTCTGTTCACTTCCATTCAATAGGACCTGCATAAAACAACTTGGCACAGCATATACTCTGGGGTAAAATTAATACCAAACCTTAAGAGGCACTTGCTTCCTTGACACCCAGCCCACTGATGGCTGTCCCGGCACCAAACCCAGTGGCCAGAAGACACTAATAATAATAATAGCTCATAAAAACGGTTCCTTACCAGGCACCAAACATTGTCCTAAGACTTTATATTAAATTCTTACAGTAACCCTAGGATTGTGATCTGCATTTTACAAAGAAATTGAGACTCAATGAAAAGGTCCTTGCCCTAGATCAGGTACAATAAATGGAACAACTGAGATTTGCGCCCAGATCCTACATTCTTAACTAATACCCAACCATAGTGAGGGGCTGGTTCCACTTCCTGTGTGGGTGTGAACCTTTGTGGCTTATGCAGAAAAGAAAGGAAGAAGTGTTATATAGCTTGGGCTTCTCAGCACAAGCCTGCTGGGTTCCAAGAGGGAGCGCCACGAAAGCAAGCATTGCTATAGAACCAGTGGAAGCTGCATGGCTGCTTGAGCTCTGCCTTTGGAAATCAATGCCATCCGTTATTAATTGAAGAAGTGTATTAGTTGTATTAGTCATGGATTTCCAAGAAACAGAATTACCAGGATGTGTATACATGCTCGAGGATGCTCTTCAACTTATAATGATTGGATTATGTCCCAATGAACCCACTGTAAATGGAAAACGTTGTAAACTGAAAATGCTCCTAGTGCACTGAGCTTACTGAACACCCTAGCTTAGCCACACAGCGCACTCAGAGTATCAATTGATAAGCCTTCCGATTTTGTGGCTGACTGTTCTGTCCACATTTTGAAAAAGTAGCATACTGCATATGGCTAGCCTGGGAAAAGACCAGAATTCACTCCTGAATGTGTATCACTTTCTCACCATTAGAAAGTTGAAAATCATAGGCGAACCCTTGTGAGGGACCATCTGTTGTAAGTGTGTGCGTTTTCCTCTCCAACCAACAAAGTAAAACTAATCCAGCTTGGCGCTTTGAAGTTTTGGAAATACTTGCAAATGTCCTGGCACATTCTCTCTGGTATTTTTAACTCATGCTTTCTTTGGCTTCAGGAACTATATGAAGCTGGAGAGAAGAAATGGGGGACAGACGAGGTGAAATTTCTGAGCATACTGTGTTCCCGAAATCGCAATCATCTCTTGCATGGTAGGAACTTCCTCACTTCCCAAAGGAATTATTTAAAACACAGTAAAAACTATATCGCACATAATTAAGTGACCTTTTCCCCTGCAGTTGGTGCAGACATTGACTAGACTGAACTCTCTTAGACTCTTACTTTGGAAACATGTGAGTCCAATAATGTGAATGAGGACCAATTTCTGAAAAATTAATTAGGAATAACTAGCAGGTTTATCATGTACTCACCTGTTTCCAGGAAACCAACCTTCATCGTCAGTCCTTTCTCTAAAGCAGCTCTAAGACTTTCATTTTCCCTTAGTTATGTAAGAAAATAATCTTTAGTACATCAGGAAGCAATAAAAGAGAAATATTGGCTGAAATTTATTCCTAGTTAACATCCAAGCTGTGAAGCTAATAGAAGTGATTTCTTTAGGGGTTATGTTGCATAAGATGAACAGAGGATAATTTCAAATTTTATTTCCTATGTGTGAGACTTCTAATGTGCTTATGATAATTCTAAAGTTTGTAATGTACTTTTAAACTTCTCTGGGGGAAATATACCATAGAATTATGGAATATTTATTGTTAGGCTTATATTCTTCTTGTACACAGCAATAAGGATTTTACAGGGAAATTTCACCTTTTATATAAGCTCGTCAGTAGTTTGTGTCCTTACATCCTTACCACGCACACAGATTTACAAAGCTTGTGGGAAACTTGAGAAGAATGAGTTTACTAAATTGAAAACATAAAGTAATGGAAAAGTACAATATATTTTGAAGTTGTAAGTATTTCCGATATTCCACAGTAACAAACGAAAGAGCCATTACTCCTGTCATCAGGGACTTGGGGCTCAGCTGCTCATTTGTTGCCTTCCCTTGTTGATTACAACAGTACAAATCTCCCCCTGGTGGTAGCTTCTCAGAACTGCAGGTCCTCAGAAGCTGATGGGGTGCATTGAAGAATTTTCACTTCCAGGCACAAGTCCGTAGCTCGGCAGTTATAAAATAATCTGCTTGTAAGCTGCCGAAAGGAAATATATTAAGCACTTTTTGGATAAAGAAAATGTCATAATTTTCTTACCAACTAACAATAATGACCAAAACTGAGGTTTTGTTAGTAATGTTCTATCTTCTGGGTGCAATGCTAAGCAGACAAGCATTGTGCCTTGCAATATGGCGATGTAGTAGTCGTTATTTTCCCCAATTTACTGTGGAGAAAACTAGGCTTAGAGAGCGTGTCAATTACATTCTTTGATTCTAAGCAAACATACAGTGGCCCTAACTTAAGAAAAGAGGAAATACAGTGGAATGGACAAGAGGGAAAATGGAAAATGCTGGGGACTCACACAACTGAAGGGAGAGCTGAACAAGTTCAGGAAGAACAGGGGATCTCCTGAGGAGCTAGCTGTGTATCTTGTAAGGCACTCTTGGCCGATGTTTGCTCTCTGTTCAAAACTCTCATTTTTATTTATTTTTTAAAGCAGTGTGGGACTTTGAACTCAGGGCTTTGCATTTGTTAGGCAGGCATTCCACTGCATGACCCGTGCCTCCAGCCCTAAAAAGGTTCACTTTTTAGCTCATGCTTGAAAATCCCAGCTACTTGGGAGGAAGAGTTTGGGAGGATCATGGTTCAAGGTCAACCTGGGCAACACAGAAGCCGGATGTGGGTAGTGCATGCCTGTTATCCTGACTATGCAGAAGGCACAGGCAAGAGCATCATGGTTTGAGGCTGGCCCTGGGCAAAAACATGTGGCCCTATCCAAAATCTAAGTAAAGCTAAAGTAGGCTGGGGGCTGTGACCTAGCAAGTGTGAGGCCCTGAGTTCAAAACCCAGTATCACCCAAAAAAAAGAAGTTATTTTTTGAACCCCTACTTCAGACTGGCTAACTTAGAATCTCTGGAAATGATACCCAGAAGTTCGACAAGTTTCCCAGGGGATTCTTAAGTTCTTTAAGGGTAAAGGTGACCCAGTGCTTTTGGTTGTCTCCATGATCTGCTCAACTTAAAACTTCCCAGGAGGGCAGATCTGGGATCTTGACTGAGTGAACTGATTACTTGTTGGATAGAGGTTGTGGTGTATATGGTTGGATTCAGGTGTCCCTTGATCAACAGAATCTATCTCATTGATAGGGGCAAGACAGTTCACCAAAGGAGGTGATTAAGGAGATAAACAAAACAGATATCTTCTGTAAGAAGGCTCCAGAAGAAAAGAAAGGAAAGCAAATATAACACATTCAAAAATACTTGGCGAAAAAGAAAAAAAAATTAATTATGCTAAAAATCTATTAAAAGATGAAACTGGCTGTTATCAAGCGTGACTCAATCTGAATTGCTCTAGTTTTAATGAGCCAAAAGGAAGATGAACACATAGGTGACTGCCAAGGCCAAAATTACAAAAAAAGACACATTCTGTTATGTCTCCAGAAGTTGTCTCCCCTTCATGCGTGGAGAGGAAGGATTGCCGATGTCCAGCACTCCTCTCTCCTTGCCTTGGGTCATATGGTTCTCATCCACTTTACTAATTAGTTTCTACTTGAAATATGTCAAAGAATGAATGGTGTATGCTCATTAAAAGATGCCAATTCACTCAATAAATTTCAGTTTCTTCTTTATTATCAATAATGCCATTTCATTATCGTTTGTAGTGTTTGATGAATACAAGAGGATATCGCAGAAGGATATTGAACAGAGCATTAAATCTGAAACATCTGGTAGCTTTGAAGATGCTCTGCTGGCTATAGGTATGTGTGTAGGAAATGAGGAGCAGGAAACAAGCATCTACCAGTTGTCTTCCTTGCTATCTATTGGTTTGTTGTCGTGGGGATATAGAATTTTGTTTTTTAGATGTCAGTGTTGTTGAAATCACAGTATGTGCCAGAATTTTTCTTTTTTTTGAAATGGGGTCTTGCTAAGTTACCCAAGCTAGTCAGGAACTCCTGGGCTCAAGAGGGTTGCTGTAAGTATCAAAGTAAACAAGTGACCAGGTATGGTAATACATGCCTGTAATCTCAGCTACTTACAGAGCAGAGGTAGAAAGATCACAGCCCAAAGCAGACCTGGGCAAAGTTATCAAGAGATCCTATCTGAAAAACAAACTAAAAGCAAAAGGATTGGAGGCATGGCCAGGTGGTAAGGTGCTTGTCCAGCAATCAAGAGGCGCAAGTCAATTCATCAATACTGGAAAAAAAAAAGTGATCCTCCCACTCAGCCCCAGAGTAGCTGGGACTACAGGCACATGCCACCAAGCCCAGCTAACATACTAAAGTTTCAAACAAGAACTATTATATGCAGCCTGATTGCTATTGCACCATGTATGGAAAAGATAATACTTTGCTAGCTGCCTCTTGCAGTCTGCAAGCAGATGGAAGCAACAGCTCCCTCATGTGCACATGTGGCAATCACTGAAACTACATGCTGCCCTTCACTCTGATGGTCTTCATTAATTACTTCTCCAGAAACGTGATGATAATAAAGGAGCTTTCCATCAAGAAAATGCCTGCAGTATAGACCATATTCATGGGATGGTGTTTGGCTAAAACTTCTCTAGCAAAGCAAACAGATATTTCTTGATACTTTGTAGAAGCAGAGGGGAAACAACTGTCACTTTTCTTTTTTCTTAAATTTTATTTGTAATCTTTTCATTTCTTTTGTTTGTTTGTTTGCTTTTCTCTTGACAGTAAAGTGCATGAGGAACAAACCTGCATATTTTGCTGAAAGGCTTTATAAATCTATGAAGGTAATGACCTCGGTTTTAGCCTCTGAATGGCTTTGGTGTATCTCGTGTGCACCTTCTTAGGTTTCCTTATGTCCCCACCTAACCTTTCAGCTTGAAGTATCCAACTCACATCTAATCTATTGGCCGTTGGCTATGGTGGTGCGTGCTCATAATCCCAGAACTTGGGAGGCAGAGGCAGGACTGTCAGTTCAAGACCAGCCTTGAACTGGACTATATATCAAGATCCTGTCTCAGCCTTCCCCATCCCCTCAAAAAATTCATCATATACCTCACCATAGTGCTGCTGCTAATAACAATACTGAGTGCTATTTATTGATTACTTACGATATTCTCACTGCCTTATACATGTGGGTTAATTTTATTGTCACAGCAGCTCTATGGGCCAGGTTCACCCCCATTTTACAGATGTAGAAACTGAGGCGAGGGAAGGACATGCAATTTTCCCAAGGTCCTCAGTGAGGCAGCAGTGAACCAAGAATGCAAACACTGGCAGTCTAACTTCAGAGCCCATTGTCCTAACCCCACATTGTAGTCTGTGCAAGCACCTAAGCCCTTGCCTGTGCCGGGGACCATGAGAGGTGCAATAAAGATGAAAATGTAGTTCTTGCTCTCAAGGAATGTCTAACCTTGTAGGGAAAGCAAGTATGTGCAAAACATCAATAACACAATGGAATGTGAGCAAGAGGTTGAGGATTCAAATATTATATGAACATAGAGGAAAGAGTGTGTTTTTTTCAATGCTTATTTTTGGGGGGAATTTAAAAGTTGGAATATTTGAGCAGGACATTCAAGGAAGTTTTATGTTGGGGGAAGGAATTGTGGGTTGAGCAGCCTGGACGAATGGAGTATGTGATGTCCTCTGGTTGGAACATGGAGTGTTAGAAACGTATGCCATGGAGAACCCTGAATCCCATGGTAAGGAGAGTGGCTGTTCCTTGGGCCTCCAAGGTCACGGAGCAAAGGACAATACCAGGAGAGTCATCCATCATTTTGCCTTGCTAGATTGGGGAAGAACATTATCTGGAAACGAGCTGCTTTTCCCACATGGGATCCCATTTTCTTCTTTAGGGTTTGGGCACTGATGACAGCACCCTCATTAGAGTGATGGTTTCCAGAGCAGAGATTGACATGCTGGACATCCGGGCTAACTTCAAGAGGCTCTATGGAAAGTCTCTGTACTCTTTCATCAAGGTAGGTCACATAGCAGCCTCACCTGGGCCCAGGGGGAAAGCACCAGTGAAAGGACAGGGCCCTGACCTCAGCATTCAGCACTTCTAGTCTTCTTCTTCTTGGCTTCTATCATTCCCAGGAAAAATGGTGTTCTACTTCAGCTGTTTCCACTCTTATCTCCTTCTGCACAGACCTCCAAGCTTTTTCAGGTTATAAGCTGAAGTGTTTGCCTTATAAACACAGTAATTAATTCATGTTGGCCCCAGACAAAGATTATATTTTAACATATGCTTTTAGGAGTACAATTGCCATGTCTAGTTAATAACATAAAAGCAGCAATGTATGCAGAATGCTGCAGGAATTTTCAGCTGAGGTCTGTTAGAAATGTGGGAAGACATTTTAGTTTTCCTAGATTGGTGTTTTTCATCTGGTACCAGACATCTGGGAGTCTGAAGATGGCAGAGGAGTGATGAGAAATGATTCATATCTCTCCAAACCCTTCATTAGTGGAATTTTGCTTCTTGAGGAAGCCACAGAAGTCGTAAACATGAAGCTGAAATCAATTTCCCTAGAAGCTGGGGTTTCCTGCACAATTAACTTCATTTCAGGATTCAATCTGTAAATTAAATACTATGAAAAATGAGGAATACATTGCCCATTCAATAACTGTAGTCAAAAGAAACAAAAGCAGCCAGGCGCCAGTAGCTCACATCTATAATCCTAGTTACACATGAGGCAGAGATTGGAAGGACCGTGGCTCAAAGCCAGTCTGGGCAAATAGTTCCTCAAGACCCTATCTCAAAAAAACCCATCACAAAAAAGGGCTGGTGGAGTGGCTTATGATGTATGCCCTGAGTTCAAGCCCCAGTGCCACAAAAAACGAAAAAGAAAGAAGAAACAAAAGCAGAATTGAAGTATAAAATATACAAATAATAGAAAAAAATGACAAAAGATAAAAATTTAAGTTAAAAACAGAAATAATTTCAGGTTAGGTAAAAACATAAAAATCCAACTTCATGTTGTTCATTTAAAAAAAAAAAACTAAAATACAGCTTAAAAAAAGACCAGGGAAAAGAACATTTGACAAATACAAAAAAGACAGCAGATCACCCTATAAGTAAAGAAGATTTAAGGAGGAAAAATAAAAACATTAGAAGGTGGACCACTTTATATTGATACAGGCAACAATTCATAACAAAAATTAAATTGTCATGAAACTCTTAGGGTCCAAAAGAAGTAATTGATGAAATACTATGCCATGTGTGAAACATTAACACATTCTTTTTCTTTGGCAGATCAAAGCATAAAGATATATTAAGACTGATTGTAACAGATGTTATTAAATTTTGAACTGTATAAACAGAGTCCACCTTTTTTAATGACCATAGAGGGCAACAAAAATTGATTATTGGGCTAGGAGTGTATGACCAAGATCCTGCGTTCAATCCCTAACACCAATTTTTTTTTATCTATTATTAGGCCATAAAAAATTTCACACAGGAATTATAGAACTTTTCTGGAAGGCCATTCTGCAACTCATGTCAAAAGACTTAAGAAAATGTATGATTTCTAGTAATTTTCACTTGTGAAAATTTATTCAGAATAAATCATGAATAATACTCATGAAAAATTTAGCTGCAGTGTGCTTATTGCAGCAGCATTTAGTATATTAAAAAACTGGAAACCATATTAATAGTCAACAATGAGAGAGGGAGGGTCAAATAAATCATTTTTCCCTATGTACAATGAATACTCTGTAATCACTAAGTATTACTGTAGAATAATATATAATAAAATAGTGAAGTATTTAAGCCAAGTTATTAAATAAAACAAGTTATAGAAGCTGGGAGTGTGGATCAATAGATTAGTTTGTTTGAGGTTCTGGGTTCCATCTTCAGCATCACCAAAAACAAAAACAAAAACAAAAAAAGCTGGACAAAGAAAAATACCATAGTCCCACCACATAGGTATCTATATGCTTAGAAAAAAGCCTGGAAGGACATGCACCCTCCAAAATGTTAACAAGAGTTATCTGTAGATGGTGGACTGTGGGTGATTCTTGCGTTCTTTTATGTCTTTATTTTCAACACTGAACAAGTATTAATTACTTTTGTAATAAATACCACCAAGTTTTTTTAAAGAGCTGAGGAAGATCCAGCTAAGCTTGAATAAGTTAACTGAGATTGGCTTTGAATGTGATAGTCCATCTAAAACCCCCTTGTGTGACTGTAACTTTGCTTCCTTTTCCCCAGGGTGACACCTCTGGAGACTACAGGAAAGTACTGCTCATTCTCTGTGGAGGAGATGATTAAAATAGAATCCCAGAAGGTCGGAAGGATTCTCAACACTCAATTGTTTTTTAAACTTCAGTTTTTCTACACTGCTATTAGCATTATCTGAGGATGCTTATTTCCAATTAAAACGCCTACAGTTGCCTCCTAGGATATAGACTGTATTATTATCATCTATAATTAGTCATTTTGATGTTTTAGAGCTGTACTTGCATTTTAAAGCTTATAAGCCCTAAATGGAGATTTAAAATTAGAAATTAAAATGTGTCCCAGGTTTTCAGCAGATTATTCCTCATTTGTGTTTCACATAAATTGAAAAAATTACATTGTTTCCTATTTTCCTTTTGGTAAGAATCTTTTTAAATGGAAGAGTGAGAGACTGTTCTACAATCACTTTCTTCCCTAATCCTTTTGAAGTAGCTAGTAGTTTCATTTGCCATCGTGAGCATCCAGTTAGTAAGAACACCCATCCAGTTTTCTAGTTTACATAGTTGTACATTGACAGGATCCATAAATCTTTTGGTTTTGTTTATAGCATTAGTTGATCTTTACTAAATGTAGCATGAGAGACTTCATCTCATCCTGTGTTGAGATTTTTCACCAGGTAGAAGTGGACCAAAATCACCAACTCATCTAAGCAAACTAAAATTTAATCCGTGGTTATACGGATCATCTATGTCTAGTTATCAAGCAGAGATGCTGAACATCCCACCACGTTATGGCTAATGTCTTAATCTAGCTTACAAGTGGAAGGAAAAATAAGCTTTGAATAAGATAATTCTAGTAATAGAGTATTTAGTTTGAATTTAGTTTGACCTAAAAAAATTGGGGGGGGCACTAAAAATAATTTTAAAAATCTTTCTTGATTTTGTTAATTTGTAATCATTCACATTTCCATTGTGCCTTTTCAACCTTACAATCATTCTGAAAGTATATTGGATTTAATTAAAAAGTTCAGTTTATGTACAGCATGGAAAAATAATTTTAATAAAAAAATTATGACTTGAAAATGACTTTTCTACCTCTGAGATTTTTTTCATCGTAGACCACAAGAGGAGTTACTTTTGAAGGAATTGTGATACTCAGTTTCTATTTGGAATTAACAGCATTAAAAAAAATAAACAAACATGGTCTTATGTTTGCCTGTTGCTACAAAACTAATATCTACATACACTAAGCACTACTCAATGATATTATATAGTGATTAGCTTATTCTCTGTAAATGTTATGTATCAGATTCGAGAACATAGCTTAGCCTGTGTTAGGCCAAGTTTTGATCCCTGGCCCCAAAACAGAAGTCAAAAAGTTATAGTTGCATGAAGAACATAGGGGTTTGAGGTGTAGCTCAGTAGTAGAGTACTTGCCTAGCAAGCTCAAGGCCCTGAATTCAAACCCCAATACTGCCCAAAGTGGATATATATGTATATATCCACTATCTATACATAGATATAGATATAGATAGATAGATCTTATAATCACAATATTTGCCTTCTTTATTCATTCTACATCAACTGCACTTTGGTGAAATAATAAGCACTGGCTTTTTAGTTCTGTTCTTCTTGTCTATTGTACGTGAATAAGCTATTGATGAAAACTACTTATTTTTCCAGCTTGTGAAGCAGCTCTACCATTTGAGCCACACCTCCCATCCAACTTACATAAATAGTCATTCCATTTAACTATAAGAAATCATACTGCCACTTCAATATCTACCCAGAAGACTGTGGGATCTCCCAGTTAATTTTATTTGGTTTTGGAAGCACTGTTTTTTATTATGAGAAGGTTTATCTTGAAATGACATAGCTTAGCCAAAAATTTAAAACACAAATTGCATTTATTAAAACCCCCATAAACATTCTAGAAAACAGGATAAAGCCACCTGGAGGAGTGCTTGCTGTTATGTTAATCAAATGTGACCTTGAGGTATAATTATGAAGCAACTTTTTCTCTCCCATTGTCCATTTGCACTTATTCAGTGGGCCTAGTTTTTCTCTGGACTTTATTATTTATTTATTTGCAGTACTGGGCTTTGAACTCAGGGCCTACACCTTGAGCCACTCCACCAACCCTTTTTTGTATTGGATATTTTTGAGATGGGGTCTTGTCAACTATTTGCCTGGGCTGGCTTTGGACCAGGATCCTCCTGATCTCTGCCTCCTGAGTATCGATTATAGGCATGAGCCACTGGTGCCCACCTTATATTCCTGGCTTTAGATGTAAATTCAGACAGGTACCGTCATTACTTTTCTGCTCACTCTTAAGTTTGAAGAAGTACCACCGTGTATCCCTTAGTATGAAAAACTTGTGTCATTTCAGCAATTAATAGATCCTGTCAAAATTCCAAATGTGACTAACAGTTGAGGCTTTTTCCTTCATTCAGCCCTGGCTACTGCCAGTGTGAAGCTGGCTTTTTGGGAAGGGGAGACCATGGGCTTCCCTTTCTCCATCTAGACTTCCTTCCACCCACAGCCTCAACCTACCTTGTCTGGGTTGTAGCAACAGGAAGGAGTGTCAAGCAGAACATGGAAGCTCTTACCTGTTACTGTTCTGGAGGTAGAGAAAAAGTTCTGTGTGACCTTGGCAGATGTTTAAAGCAGATTCTTGTGGGTTTCCTTGGCAATCCCATCATCAGGGCACCATTTACCTGGTTCCTTTGGCAAGGCCATTGTAGCTTATTCTAGTCACTTAAGAATTTGGTGATGCCTTCAGGTTCTCTGTACTGAAGTCACTTTACCCTTGCACCCAGGTCTTTTGAACAGGATCTACAATGATCCCATGCTGGTGATCTCATGGTGGCCCACATCTGCTCCATAGAAACACCCTTGTGGTGATAAATTCTATGCATGCAAGCTGATTCTCTCACAGCCGTCATTCTCCACCTCCTACCTCTACTTCAAGCTGCCCCAGCTAAGTTTTCTCAGTTGAGATTTCTCAGGAATGAATCAGACAACTGTCCACTGGGGCCCCCAAACTACATATATCCTGGGAGTGTAAATTGGTGCACTGATGCAATGAATTCAAGGAGCAATAGCTAATAAAGTTGAAAATGCTCAGAAAATCCACTGCAGGGGATCTGCTTGATGACTCTCCTGCACACAATGTTCATTTCTGCTGGTAACAGCATTAATGTAGAAATAACCTAACTCCCTTAGTAAGGGAGTGGAGAAACAAATAATGGCTCTCAGTCTTAACAATGAACAGTGAAAATCAACTAGAGATTTAATCAAAAGTTTAATTTTGAGAGAAAGGTTCAGAGTGATGATAGGTATGGTATGATTCCATTTAATTACAGGTCTAACTGTGCAAAAGGAATACACTGTTTATGGGTATGTATATAAGGACAGGTATGGCAATAAGGAGATACACTGTTCTCGAGACCATGATCACCACTGGGGAGGGAGACAGCTGGAGATGGAGGGTGGGAACACAGATAGTGGGTACACCTGGGGCTTCTTCTTTTTATTATACTATTTAAAAAGCATGAATCATCAATTATACCTTAATAAAGCTGGGGGGAGGGGAAGGGATGAATCAAAACGAGCATGACAAAATTTCAAGCCAGCAGTGAGCTCACAAGTGTTTTTATTACTCTTTGAAGCATTTCATTATAAGCACTTTACTTAGAAAGCAGCAGAAGGGAGACAAGGACTAAAAGGTGGTTGTCCAGAGTCTGTAACAAGGTCTGCTGGCCCAGATTCTTGTTAGCATTGCTAGGGCTTTGCAGAGGTACTTTTAAGCCCTGACAGTCCTAATTTCAGACGTGCGGCTGGTGCTGGGCAGAAGGAAAAGAGTTCGCCAGAACCCAAAGAGTCCGTTTCATTTCTGCAGCAAAGGAGGGCTGAAGAAACCCAGGCGTCGGAAGAGTGGCTCCTCTTTCTAGGTCCTCTTGTCACAGGGAGCCACACCCTAGCCCAAGCACGGGGACGCTCCTCCAAAAAATGCCCTTCCCAAGCACAGGGCTCAGTAGGAAACTGGAGGTCAAGAAACTTTTGCACGCTGGAGTATGGCTCAAGTGGTAGAATGCCTATCTTGCAAGCACGGGGCCCTGAGTTCAAGCCCCCCTACTGGAATAAGAAAAAAAGAAACTTTTTTTTCCTAAAGAATGAATGACCTAGCCGGGCGCCGGTAGCTCATGCCCGTAATCCTTAGCTACTCGGGAGGCAGAGATCAGAAGGATCGCGGTTGTCAGCCTGGGCAACAAGAGAGACCCTATCTCGAAAATACCAAACGAACACACACACACACACACGAGACCCTATCTCGAAAATACCAAACGAACACACACACACACACACACGAGACCCTATCTCGAAAATACCGAACACACACACACAAAGGGCTGGTGAAGTGGTTTAAGTGGTAGATGCGCCTGCCTAGCAAGCATGAAGACCCTGAGTTCAAACCCCAGCACCGCCAAAAACAAAAGCAAAAAAAAAAAAACAAAAAAACACAAAAAGCCAGCAAATGACCCGAAGTTCCAGATCATGCCCAACACAAAAGCAATGTGAATTACCGCTAACGATTAGGATGGCCCCTGTGCTCAGAGTAGCTTGCTTACAGCCCCCCATGCCGGCTCGCGGCCGCGCGCCTCGTTCTGCGCAGGCTCCACCTGCCACTCCACCGCCTTTCCCCGCCCCTTCCGGAGGCTCGGCGCGCGCATGCGTCCGACGGCGCCCGCTTTGTTGCGAAAGCCAGGGGGCGAGGTTCTGCGGTCCCCACGCGCGGCGTGCCTAGACGCAGAGGGCGGGGCGGAAGATGGAGGCGGTAGCGTCCGCTGCAACGGTTGGGGTTGTGCGAGAGGAGGTGGTCGTGTAGACACCTGGGCTGGGAGCAGCGTGGCGGCGGTCAGGCCATGGCGTGTGACCCTCTCCTCTGGGCTCCCTGAAGTGTGCTCCCGGGGAACCGGGTCCCATGGGCTCTCTGAGTAGCCGAGTGCTGCGCCACCCTGGGCGAGCCCGAGCCCAGGAGGAGACCGGTCCTGGGGTGGGGGGCTCGGCTCGGAGACCCGAGACTGGCGGCGATGCGGCCGGCCACGGCTTCTGTTACTGCCCCGGCAGTCGCAAGCGCAAGCGTAGTAGCGGGGCCTTCTGCTACTGTCACCCCGACTCCGAGACAGAGGAGGAGGAGGAGGGAGACGAGCAGCAGCGGCTCCTCAACACCCCTCGAAGGTACGTGAGGGGATGCTCGCAGGTGGACCCGCACCTGCACCTGTTGGGCCTGGGGACCTGTCTGGTGCCACTGCTGGTGGGGTGTGGGTTCCCTAGCTTGTTAAGAGGGGACGTGTCCTTGACAGGGTAAATGGGGGAGCTGGTCCCATGCAGGGCAGATCCGGGAGACGCTTGGTGTTGTGCATCATAAAGCACAGACGCTGGGGGTGTCGTTATTACTGTGAAACGCCAAGCTGGAGCTGCGTCTGTCTCTTTCTGCCCTGGTCACGACCGAGCGGCTGGTCTTCCCCGTACACCTCTGCCCTCTCTGAGTGGGTAACCGTAGAATAAGTTGTGCATCCGTTGCCTTAAATAGATAGCACGGAGACGGAAATCGTGTTCGCGATGGGTACCTTTCTTGTCCAGAGCCACACACTTATTCACCATAAAGGTGGAGTTGATCAATAGTATGCATTTGTTCCTAATTAGATGCAAAGCCTTTTCAAAATCTGTAGTAGTTGGAGTTGACCGTGGATCTGTGTAGCTTGCTTAAAGCTTTATTTTGGGGGAGGGGTCGGGGAAAGGCGAGGGGAAAGTTGAAAAACAAAATAACAAAATAATTGCTTCTAAAGTTGAAGTAGTTTATAGTAGAATATATTTTGCATAAACAATGTAGTCACTCTGCTTACTTTTAAAGGTCAGTGGTGGAGTCACATAGATATAATTTTTTAAATGAAACTTAAGTCACTCAGATTTTTCTACACAAGTATTACATATTACTTTAAAAAAAAAAAGTATCATAGGCACTGGAGGTGTAGCCCAGTGGTAAAGCTAGTACTTAAGTAGCATAGATAAAAATAATTTGATTTATAAAACCTCTGACATGAGCTTTTGTGTGAATGTTTGTAGTTACAAAATGGACCCCCTACTGTGAATACTTTCCAGTTAACCTTTTCTAAGAGCTAATGTAGCATAGTCTGAGCTCAGATTGAGTTCTTACCTGCATTCTACACTCAATATCCTTACTTTCTTCATATGTAAAAATGGAGGTAGTAACCCCACCATATAGAGTTCCGAAGATTTAAGAAGAAACACTGCACAGTGGCTGGCATGTACACACTCAGTAAATTTATGTCTCCTTTTTATCATTATAAAATGTTCATCCCCCTTTAATTCCAGAATATAGCCTTTCCCACTTTCTTAGTTGTTTGAATGGCATATTTTTTTCCATCCTTTCACTTTTTACCTATTTGTGTCTTTAAAGTAGAAATCATGTATATAGAATATTGTTGGATCTTGCTTTTTTTAAAATCCAGTAGGACAATCTATGACTTTTGATTAGTATTTAGACTACATATATTAAGTGTAATTATTGAAATATATGCCAGGACCCACTTAAAAACCACACAATAATTAAAACAGAAAATTTAATATAAAACTTATTAACAAAGAACAGGAAATTAACTATTAAGGGGAAAACACTAAAGTAAAACCCCAGTTCCACCAATACAAACAAACAGAAAACACTAAAGAGACCTCCAAAAAAAAAAAAAATGTACAGGAATAGGCCAGGCATGGTGGTACACACTTGTAATTCAGGAGGCTGAGGCATAAAGATCAAGAGTCCGGCCTGGACTGCATAATAAGACCCCACTCAGAAAACCAAAAAGTTAAAATAAAAAGAAATAGAAATATGGGGATAGAAAATATGGGGAGTAGTCACCACTTCTAGGGCTGGGACAGAACACCCCAGGAGCAAATTAGGAATAGGGCCCAGCTACCCTAGCTAAGATTCACTTCTTTGTGGAGGAGGTATGGCTCTCCTACTGGGTAGTGGAAAGATTTGCTAAGGCTGAGTGAGGCTGGCAAGCAGGAAATTGCCCATTGGGGTTCCAACAAAATTATTTGGAGGTCATCTGGGCCACACCCCTGCAGATTTACTATCTAGTCATTCACAGAAAAGTTTGCCTTCCCCTGGTGTACAGGGGTGGACTGGAATGGAAAGTTTTAAAGCAAGTCTTTAACAGAAAATGCATATCAGAGTGCAGTATGTGTGTATTATCAGGAGATGCCTGACTGATTTCAGCCCTGCATAGCTGAAGGGGGTAAGAAAATATTAGAGTCTGTATTTTGTGTGTTGGCACCTATAAACTTCCTGAGGCAGCCTGTTGTGCTCCTGCCCCAGCAAACTACCTCATGAGAAAAGCTTTAGCTTCTGAGCCTGCCTTCTGGCTCATACCTGTTGTTAAGTGCATGTCTTTTACATTAACAGGACTAACAGGACTGTTGAAATTTATACTGTCCTAGGGGAGAGACAATGGGAGAAATGTAAATAATGTACAATATAAGCCTGCTTGGAATTGTCACTTTGAATCCCCCCCATAATGAATATATTCTAATAAAAATTTTATTTAAAAAATTTGTTATCTTGCAACCAAATCTTCAGTGTTTTATCTATAGAGTGTCTCTAAAATTTGAAATCTAGTGAACAGTGTTTATAACTATGTAAAGATTGTTCACTGAAGAATCAAGTAGTGAATTAGAATTATGAATCATACTTCCTGGGCCCAGTATCATCATCACAATTATTTGTTCAAAGGGAAAAATTTTCTAACATCATAGTTAAGTGGAGTCTTCTTAACATCTCATCAAATGCTGAAAGTCAGGCAGTTTTTGTTTGTATCTTATTTGGACAGTGGTTTTACTTTATATTTTAATTGCTTTTTTTTTTTTTAATTATCTCAGAATTTCTGTCTTTTCCTCCCCCACTGACAAAAGAATAGTATTCCTGGTTGGCAGAGTGGCTCAAGTGGTAGAGCACTTGCCTAGCAAGCATGAGGCCCTAAGTTCAAACACCAGTACTACAAAAAAGAAGAAAAAAACAAAAAAAGAATAGTAGTCCTTCATCCTGTCTTCAGCTCTTTCTGTCTTTTGCATCTTTCCAGTAAGCGTCTGTGAGTAAAAAGACTGAATTGAATATGGGTGGGGTTGTTTTAGAGCAGATTCCCAAACTCCCTTGGTTCACAGCACCAAGAAATGCCTCAGTCATTTTTTTTTTTTATGGCATCTCTGGTTCCCAAACAACAACAACAACAAAAATCTCATGGTTAGGTCCAAATAACTCAGTGGTGAACTACATGTCTGAAAGATACTGCTGTGTTGCTTTCAAATTTAAAATATTCCACATGCTTCTGGAGTTTGCTTGGGCTCTAGGTATTTTGGCTCACAGTTTGGGAATCATGAGTGAGGGTGAGTGGGTTGGTAGCTAACAGGCTTACACATCCTCAAATGCTGGAATAGAGATTGCTTTGTCTGGAACCCCAACACCCACACTAAAGCCTTAGCTCTTCTTGGTAAGTTTGTCTTGATTCTTTCTAGAAAAATCTTGGAATCTTTTTACCTGGGTATATTTATTCTGTCTGTGTTCAAAGAAGGTGGAGGAGACCATTAGGAGAGCAAGTCCTATCCCACTTCTGCATCTGCCTTTTGTTTCCCTGAGACCCCATTATTTTACCCCCACCACAAGTACTGAGAGGCAGATAGCCCTAACTTCCATCTGAGCCCTTTAACTTTTATTCATTAATGAGATTTGGGAGAGGTGGGGAGCAAGCATGCTCATTCTTCTCTCAGGAACCAGAAACTACTTTGACTCACTTGTTTTTCACAATAGTTCACTCAAGTGGATACTGTTCATATCCTCTTTTTACAGTTGGGTAAACCTGGGACTCAAACTCAAGTCTGAAGAATGAGCTATTTTTGACTCCCCTCCGCCCCCACACCCTTGCTATGTAGTTCAGGCTGGCCTCAAACACACAATCCTTTTGCCTCAGCCTCCCAAGTGTTGGGATTACAGGTATGATCCACCACACCTGGTTTCTTGTTTTCTTTTTGATATTGTCTCACTGTGTTGCACAGTCTGGCCTCTAGGCTCAGCCTTCCAAGTAGCGGGACCATAGGCACAGACCACCATACCCACCTTGCATGTGCTAATTTTGTTTGTGAGAAGAGTTTATATACACTGATTCCAGACACCTTCTATAACAAGTACTTCATTTTTAAAAAGATATTTATAATTTTTAAGTACTAGAAGAGCTATCCGAATTGGTCAAGAATTTAAAATTGATCAGCCTGTGCCTGTCCTTTTTCTTATTTACTGTATCATCTCAAGCAGTGATTCCCAGTTTAAATCAAGTCTTTATTTAAATTACATCTTGTACAGAAAACCAGTATGTTTACAACTGTAGTAGGTAGTAGGTGGCGCTACTCCGGTGAAGTTAGACTGGCTGACCAGAGTTCGCTGCCCCGCTCTCCTTGGTGGCCTTTAAAGATACTTTTCCCTTGAGCATAGTTGTGAAGTCCTTTGATCTAAGGCTGCCAGCCATTTGTCCAGTGGGGAAAAAAACAATTTAATTAGTTAAACTAGTCTTAACTAGTTTAGTTTGGCACTGGAATAAGCTTAAATGTAAATTATTTTTAAAATGACAGGGGAATTTTGATTCAGTCTCCATTTTGTAGTTGCATAGCAGATAATTGCAGTCATGTTGAGATCCTCAATAGTGCTGGTTTCTAAATAGGGAAATAAGCAAAAATGGACTGCTGATTTATATCATTTTTTGACTGTAATTAGTTCAAAAATCAAAAAATCATAAAAGGTGTACAGAGTCAGGTCCCCCTCCTGTGCTGCTCCTCTCATCAACTATTGTCCTTCCTGTGGATTAGAGTACTCCAAAGATAGCACTGTTAGCTTGTGTGCTCTTCCAGACATGATCAAATTTAGTAGGTAGTATCCCCATCCTTTTACACAGTGGATAAACTGACACTAACAGAAATTGAACAAAAGGAGTATTTGAAATTTATGCAAAATCAGTAAAGCATTTAGTTTGTTTTTGTAGTGGTGTGGGTTGAACCCAGGGCCTCCAGCCTGCTATGTGAGCACTCATCATTGAGCTACACCCCCAGCCCGAAACACTGACTTTTTAAATGTATATGTAACTTTTGCATTTTTTCTTAACAGGAAAAAATTAAAGAGTACATCCAAATATATTTATCAAACATTATTTTTGAATGGTGAAAACAGTGACATTAAAATATGTGCTCTAGGAGAAGAGTGGAGCTTACACAAAATATATTTATGTCAGGTAAGTATCTTATTTTTCTATTTGAGTAGCCAGGGTAGTTACTTTAAAAAACCCAAACTTTTAAGCCCTGTTTTCCTCATTGCATTTCACATTAATGTATTGCATGGACAGTGGTAAAGTCCTGTCATCTGATAAGGCCTCTTTTATTAAGAAACATGGTGAACAATGTTAGCAAATACTTAGTTTGACCTAGAAGACACATCTTGGTTTTTTGGTTTTTGGTTTTTGTTTTTTTGGGTTTTTTTTTTTTTTTTGATCATACTGGGGTTTAAATACAGGGCCTCACGCTCATGCTTGCTAGTCAGGCACTCTATCACTTGAGGCACTCCACCAGCCCCAGAATACTGGTCTCTAAGGAGAAAAAAAAATCTCAGTATTATGAACTTGAGGATGAGAATGCCTCTGTTAAAACTTTACCTCTTAGCCAGGTATTGATGGCTCATACTTCTGATCCTAGCTACTTGAGAGACTAAGATTGGGAGAATCACAGTTCGAGGCCAGCCTGGACAAATAGTTCATGAGGCTGCATCTCCAAAATAACCAAAACAAAATGGACTGGAGGTGTGGCTCAAGCAGTAGAGTTCCTGCTTTCCAGGCATAAAAAGTTGAATTCTAACCCCCTAAGTTCAAACCCCAATCCTGCCAAAAAACTTTACCTTTTAAGAAAATTGCTGCTTGCTGCTGAATTCATGTGCCTTCAGTGTACAGTCAGCCCTCTCTGTCTATAGGTTCCACATCTGCAGATGCAACCAACTGTGGATTAAAAATTCTTGGAAAACAGAAAACTGCATATGTACTATACATATACACATTTTTTTCTTGTCATTATTCCTAAAAAAATAGTATAACAACTATTTACATTGTATTAGGTACTGTAAGTAAGCTACAGATGATTTAAAGTACACAAGAGGATATGTATAGGTTATATCAAATGTAAGGGACTTGAGCATCTGTGGACTTTGGTATCTGCAAAGAGTCATGGAGCCAATCCTCTCGCAAATACAAAGGGATGACTAAAATGAGTACTCAGTAAATTTTTAAAAATAAATTAGTTAATAGTTGATCCATTCTCACTTGCTATAATTCTAATTATGAGGAATGCTATGTGAAGATTTCACTCATCCAAATACCTTTCTTCGAATTCAGGTCCATTCTGGATTTTTCCTATTAGATAAAACTGAACTTTAGATTTTCCCTGATTTCTCTAGGAGGCAGACTTAAGAGTGGTCTGGACCATTTATAGCAACTGGGGCACAGTAAGAATTCAGCAGTTTGAGGACATTTAATTTTCTCTTTTCTTCTCAATACATTGTTATGTATCCATTTTGTATGTTATGTTTGTGGGAAATATTTAAATAGATGATATAGTTTCTACACTTGGATTTAGAACTTAATTGGGAAAGAAAATGTGTAATATGCTCAGAAATTGTTTTAATTGAGTAAAAAGCTAATCAGGTTCAAACAGTAATATAGGAATTGAATTCAGATAGTTATATGAGAATTTAGGGGCTGGGATGTAGCTCAGTGGTAGAGCACTTGCCTAGCATGCATGAGGCCCTGGGTTTGATCCCTAGCACCAAAAAAGAAAAGAATTTGGTTTTTGTTAAGACTATACTAGACTGAACATGTATTTCAATGTTAATTTCTTAGTTTCTTAATTTCATATAGACATTTGACAATTTTTGTCTTTTGAAATAATATGGTAGATTAGTTTTAATAGAATAGTTGGTTGGAGTTAGATATGGAAAAATAATTTGGAAAGCAAAGTATTGGATAACCACTGACTTTCCTTTTTTTTTTTTTTTTTTGAAGTCTGGCTATTTTTCTAGCATGTTCAGTGGTTCTTGGAAAGAATCCAGCATGAATATTATTGAACTGGAAATTCCTGACCAGAATATTGATATAGAAGGTACTACCTCCATAATTACTATTATAAAAATCATAAAAACATAACCTTTTTATTCTTCTGGTGTAAAATAAATATTCTCACCTTGTAGGTTAGGGAAAAAAGTTCATTTTAGCAATAATAATTCTGTCCTTCCTGTCCTTAGTCACGTGAGCCTTATTGTTGTGTTTACATGTCTTTGTGACTATGTCAGCCTGGGATATGGAGGATGTAGAGAAGGAAGGAAAGAGTATAACTACTTTAAAAAATTATATGTTAAGGGCTGAGGATGTCCCTCAGTGGTAGAAGGACATCATGCATCCTACCATGCATAAGGCCCTAGGTTCTATCCCTAGCACTAAAAAAAAAAAAAAAAAATTAGTTAAAAAATTAAAAATCACTGGGCTGTTGGAGTGGGTCAAACTGGTAGAGCACCCACCTAGCAAACATGAGGCTCAAAGGTCCAACCCCAGCACCACAAAAAAAATAAAAAAAATAAAAAATCATATATGAAGATCTTTTTTGGGAAAAGATCATGTAATTGATGTCATTTTATAGCTGTACAAATCCTTAGTTGAGGAAACGAGGGTTAGAAGAGCTACGGGGACTTGTTTGGCTCTCAGCAGTTTAGTGAGCCTACAGTTAGACTGTAGCTCTCCCTATGCCTTTTCCAGTGCTGTTCTGCTCTCTTCACTGATAGTGGAGTAACCACTACTCACTGCACAGGCAAACCCATGGAACACTTTTGACAGGGCACTGGAGAATAGGATGAGCACAGCATGGACAGGATCACTGCAGTGCAAAGGCCTGAAGAGGCAGAGTGGAGAGCATCATTCAATCTGTGCACTTATACTTAGTAATATAAGTACCACTCAGGAGTATCTTTTAAAACCTCTTTAAGGGTATTGCAATTCTGACCACTAACTACTGTCAAGATTAGATAGAGAAGAATGCAGCTAGATTTGGTAGAATAAACAAGTTTACAGTATTGTTCTTAACACCATCAGTCAGTAACCATTTTAACTAGTGATACTTCTCTTATCCTTTTATGTACATAAGAAGTTTAGACAAATGTCTGTGTGCATGAAGACAGTTGCGGTGGTTTTGCATCCTCTTATGCATGTAACAGTTGACATGTGTTGTTGCTTCTAGCACTGCAGGTTGCATTCGGATCGCTGTATCGAGATGACGTCTTAATAAAGCCCAGCCGAGTAGTGGCCATTTTGGCAGCAGCTTGCATGCTGCAGTTGGTGAGTGTGCATATCACTCAAAGCAAGCCCACCTGCCCACCCACTGTATCCCTTTCAAAACAAAACAAAGCTTAGCTTTTACAGTTTTTAAATAAAAATGAAATGTACAAGCATGCCATCTAAAATTCTTAATCGAAATCAATTTATTACCTCTATAAAATGAATGCAAGCTATTTCTATGTAGTTGTCTTAAAACTAATGTGGAAAAAATTTACTTGTCTAAGTTTATTTGCAGATTTCTATTCATAAAAGATTTACTTGATTATTAGGGAGATGGCTTATGATTGATAATTAATATAATCCTTGGATTCAAGGAACATTGAATGCTACTATGTAAACTTTTTCTTAATTGTGAAATAATTATGTGAAAGCCACATCTATGTATTTTAATTTGCTGGTAGAATGATATTTATTCATTCAACATGAGTGTATTGAGCAATGTGTCAAACTCAGTATAAAGATCCAAAAGTAAATTAAGATGTAGTCCCTAAATATATACAGTTTGTATAATTAAAACAAAAAAGATGTAGTCCCACCTCCAAGGAACTCATACTATACTCAGACAGTAAATATAGAGAGAGTGTGTGTGTGTAAAGGGTGGAAGGGGTGGGAGGATTGGTCTACAACAAACTCAAAGGTAAAATAAGTGCTGTCCAATACTATAGGTATTGTAATAAACATTTTGTAGGATTTAGTAGATACATAAAGAGGAGAGTGAGTGGTCACTTCCATCTAGTGGTATCATAGAAGGAAGTTATGTTTCCAAATTGAGTCTTGAAAGTTGAAAATGTGTTTGTCTTACAAAGTACAAAGAGAGAGAAAGGAAGAGCACTTCACTAACTAGAGATGTGAAATGATGAATGATTAGAGAGTTAAATTTAAGAGGACCTGACTCTACTGTGATGTAAGAATAGTTGGAGATAAAGACAGGTAGAAACCAGATCATGAAAGTCTCTCTAAAGGGAATAAAGGAAGCGAACTTGTTCATATCTATGGTGTTATCATAATGAAACCCCATTGTACTATTAATGTATGCTAATTTTTTTAAAAGTTCCTCTATACATTGCTAAAAAGTTTAGCCTTTACATATAAATACTTTTGGCAGATTTTAATTAGGAGAAAGACAGTTACATTTTAGAAAGAATACTTCAGGACTAATGTGTGAAGGATGGATTGAAGGAGAGATGAGTGCAGCATTGGAGACTAAAGCCTATTGAGCTGTCCAAGTGATACTTAGGTTAAAATGGTAGTGACAGGCATGGAGAGGAAAAATGGAGCCCAAGAGATTGAGCAGGGATAATCCACTGGATGTGGTGACAGTCCAGATGTTAGGAGGAAAGAATGACTTCCAGGTAAGTTTAAAAACAAAGTCATCAATGTTTCGTTTTAATCTTTCTTTAAAAACTTAGTTTCTTTTAATATTCCGATTTATTTGAAGTATTAATCGCTTTCTAAGTATTCTTGGCTGAGATCATTTTGATTTTTAAAATATTTTCGATTCTTTCAATGCTTATTTCCTTTAAATGTGCTTTATTTTCTAACTTTTGCCCTGTTGGTTTTGTTTTAAATCCACTTTCTGCCTTACTATAATTTACTAACTCTAACTTAATAATATACTTGCATGATGAATATATTTCAGAAACTCAAACGAAAAGTGACATTATTCTTCCCATACATTCAAGTTAGCTCATTTGAAACCCACATAAACATTTTAGGTTAAAATTTTAATGTAAATTTAAAACTATAGCATACTTATGTTAGGGGCATCTCTTAGGTATTGCTAGGTGTTTATAGCTTTAACAAGTGCTCTGTTAATTCATACTGTTTACTTGTCTAGCCATTACGTGGTTTAACTGACTAGACAGAGAGTTCATAATTTTAAAAGAACAGACAAAAGAGACAAAATGCTGTGAAAGAAATATCCAGAGGTCTCAGAGGTGGTAAAAGCAGAGACAAAGAGTAGTAATGTTCATCTGCACTTTACTGCTCTTCCCCCACTTCCATTTTTCAATTCCAAGAATTTAGTTGAATATTTGCTGGATTTTTTTTTTCAGTATTTTTATTGGACTTATGAAAAAGTTAGGCTTGCTGCACTTAATGAGTTTTCTTTCTTTCTTCCTTTTTTTTATTTTTTAATATGTAAAAGCACATATCAGAACTAATTTTTCCCACGTGAAATGGGCCTTTCCAGTGCTTATTTATATTTACAGGATGGTTTAATACAGCAGTGTGGTGAGACAATGAAGGAAACAATTAATGTGAAAACTGTGTGTGGCTATTACACATCAGCAGGGACCTATGGATTAGATTCTGTAAAGAAAAAGTGAGTTATTTCTCTTGTTTTTCCTCCTCCCACCCCACTTCTGGGAATTTGGTTGCTTCAGTTTCTTAAGCAAATGTAATAAAGAAAGGAAGAATTAAGAAAAAACAAAAGGACTTTTGAACTAATTAGGAAATTCCTCAAAAGTATTGCCTTTGTAAGTGACCATGGGTGGATTATACATGGTTATAAAACTAGGATCACTCTTTACAATATATTTTCTGTTAGAATCATTTAAAGAGTAAGCATAATAGACATTATATTAGTGCAACTACTGGAAATTTTTTTAACTCTTGACAATTGCAGAACTCATTTTCAGATTGTAAAGGTCATAGAAATATGTAAGCCCCTTTATAAACTGTTAACACAAATGCAAAATGAAGTTTTTTTAATTAGAAGCAATCTTATTAATATAAAGGGAACAGTCCCTTAATAACTACTGACAAAAGCAATACTAAATTTCAGAATTATTAAGCTAAAAATTTTAAGCATGGCCTAGCAAGATTAATCTGTTTTTATTTTAACTGTAAGGACCTACTCAGTAAATTGTTAATAGGTGACATATACTATAATAATGACATGTTTTAACTTTAGGTGCCTTGAATGGCTTCTAAACAATTTGATGACTCACCAGAATGTTGAACTTTTCAAAGAACTCAGGTATTTGATTTTTAAATAACTTTATAAGTAATCATTGTAAAATAATGTTTTTCATTTGTAAAAGTATGTAAAATATTTATGCAGACCACAAAGTATATTACTTAGTGAAAAAATAACCAATATAATGGAAACTATCTTGATTATAACCATGAACTGAAGAAATGCTACAGAAATTTCTTTGTTGTACATGATAAAAAAAAAAAGTATGTCTTTTTTTAACCAATTTTAACAGAAAAATGCATCGTGTAGAAAAGTTTTCGGTGTTATGTTACTTTTACCAGGCTCTTGGAGAATCTAAAAGTTAAGTTTTAACAACCATCTTTAGCCACATACAGTAGTTTACACTTGTAATCCTAGCACTCAGGAGGCTGAGGCAGGAGGATCAAAAGTTTGAGGCCAGCATGGACTACATAGTGAGAACCTGTCTCAAAACAACCACTAAAATAAATAAATAAACTAGAAAAGAAATTACATTTGAGGAATGTTATTTTATAATGTTTGTTAAGCTTGATGAAATTAAATTCATGATTAGTTTGGCCTTTTAAATTAAGTGTGCTTATTCATTCTTTCTTTTCTTCTTTCAATGAGTACTTCCTGAAGGTCTATTAGTATTAAAGATACTTTGTCCTGGGCTATGAGGACACAGATGGTTGGGTCATCTTTTCTGCTGTCCAGGGGGCTTTTTGTAGTAGCAAGGCTCAGATACCTGCATTAGGTTTGACAAACTCAGGGTGAAAATGAACATTTAGAGTTTTGGGGTACAAATGTCAAGTGTGTGTGGCATTCTGCTGGAAATGTAGAAAAGACAACATTGTGTAGCTTCCTGAGGTATTGATTTTATTGATACTTGGGGGAGAGGACAGTGTGAAAGGTAAACATTTTATGTTTACATATATGATGGATTAACTAAAACTCCATTTCTTGAATTTTCAATATAAAACACATCTTGGAGAGATTTTTAGTGGCTGGACCACTGATCTTGGATTCTTTTTTTTCTCTGCTGTTGTGAGGTGCTTTGGTGGAAAAGTCTAAAAAGTGTTCATCACCTAGTGATGTCAAGGTGTATACAAATCTGCAGCACATTTGATTTGAAAATCATGAGGAGCACTGTAGTGTTTTCTTTCATAATTTCCCACTGAGATTTTTCAAAAAGAAGCTGAGTCACAGAAACCCAGAAGCTCTTCTGGCTTTTTCTGACTTGAAGGGGATAGGGAGGAGGGAGAAAACAAACAACCTGTTGTGATATTCTTTCCACTCTAAATTTAAATCAGTACACATTTCTTGAACTTACTTTCTTTAATAGTAATAAAACTGTATTTTAATGACTGAACAATTCTTTTAAGCCTAGAGATTAAAGATGATTTTGAATGAATGTGGTGCATGCCTGTAATCCCAGTATTCATAAGGCTGAGGCAAGAGGATCACAAGTTTCAGTCCAGCCTGGGATATGTAGCAATACCCTGTCTCAAAAATAAATAAATAAATGAATGAATGAATGAATAAAGATTACTTTGAGGATATAGTGGTTGGAGTGAATTTTGACAAGTCTTTGTTATCTGAACAACAGAAGGCTGCCACTTTATCAGAGCATCCTGAAAGTTACCTTGTTTTAACTGAATTAAGAGATTTTAGTGTGAAGAAAGACCTTCCATAGCACACTTTGTGAATTAAAAGTATTGTTGTGTTCAGAGAGATTTGTAAGTCAGATTCTTTGTCTTGAGCAAAAAGATTAATGTAGTTTTTTTGTTGTTGTTGTTGTACTGAAGTTTAAACTCAGGGCCTACACCTTGAGCCACTCCACCAGCCCTTTTTTTGTGATGGGATTTTTCGAGACAGGGTCTCATGAACTATTTGCCCAGGCCGGCTTCAAACCGTGATCCTCCTAATCTCCGCCTCCTGAGTAGCTAGGATTATAGGTGTGAGTCCCTGACGTCCACCCTGCTGTAGTTTTTGATTCCACATTTTCATTTGATATAGACTTAAAGTTTTTAATGTCACCAGGGTCCGTCAACCTGTGCAGGAAGATAAGCTCACTCTGCTGTTTTACCTTTTCCAGCATAAATGTCATGAAACAGCTCATTGGCTCATCTAACTTATTTGTGATGCAAGTGGAGATGGATGTATATACCGCTCTAAAAAAGGTACTGATATGATATGTATACAGGATATCGCCTCAGTTTTGCTTCTAATAATAAAAAACTAGAAATAGTTAGTGCCCAGTGATAAAAGGATGGTTATAAATGTTAGAAAAGGTAAAGGAACTATGGATACTCCTTGACTTACAAGGGTAAGTTTATATCTTAGTAAAGACATCATAAACAAAAGATTGTCAAAAATGCCTTGAATAAGCCTAGTGCTTGTGGCTTTAATTTCTTTTATAGTCTTACATAGTATTTAATGAGATTTGAGTTGTGAGTAGAATAAATTAATACAAATTACTAATTTAACATCTATGTTAAAGCTTTACCTTTCTAATACAGTAATGTAAGATGTTTTTGTACCATAAGTACCTTTCAGTAATTAGCTTACTTCTTGGCATTCATACACAGTTTTTATTATTGGGCCATGACTAATGCCATAATTATAAGCACGCCATATAATAGTTCTTTCTTTCAATGCTTGTAATACAGAAATGGAAAAAATTTAGGTATTATCTTTAAATGGAGAGCTATTCGAAAATATCATAAATTGATGGAGCTTTATAATGTTTTTTTCTTATTTAACTTTTTTTAACCTAGTGGATGTTCCTTCAACTGGTGCCTTCTTGGAACGGATCTTTAAAACAGCTTTTGACAGAAACAGATGTTTGGTTTTCTAAGCGGAAAAAAGGTATGCCTGAAATTTTTGAGAATGTCTTTTTTTAATGAAATGTATTAAAATCAGTCCCTGACTTATTCATAAACTTTAATTTTAGAGATGGAGAGGACCTTGGCAATTATCTAACCAGCTCTTATTTATAATGAATAAATCAAAGCCTGACAAGAAAAATGTCTTACCTAGGATTATCTGAATTACTGCTCTTTGAATAATAATGTACCCTGATTCCCCAAAACAGCTTTTTCTTTTTTTTCCCATTTTATCACCAAAGGGTCTTGCTGATTGCATTTGTCTTTTATTTAAGCACATTGAATTTTCCCTAAAAAAATCCCATACTTTATCTATAAAGCAACAGTTCTTAACGTGGGGACCTATGGACAGGCCTCTGTATCACTAACCCTGAAAGTAGATACGGAATTTGAATGTAGGTGTGTGCTGCATGCAGTTTTGTGGAGAGAGCTTCCACATTTTTAATCAAATTCCTTTTTTATTTTTATTTTTTGTGATACTGGGACTTGAACAAAGGGCCTACACCTTGAGACACTCCACTAGCCCTTTTGCCCGGGCTGGCTTTGAAACCACAATCCTCCTGATCTCTGCCTCCTGAATGGCTAGGATTGTAGGTGTGAGCCACTGGCGCCCAGCTCTTCATCAGGTTCTTGATGGAGACTAAAATTGGTTAAGATCAACTTTTTTTATAAGGTCTTATCAGACTAAAAGGATGTATATAATATAATTTTTACTTTGCTAAAACAAATTTTGCAAAAACTTAAAATGGCCATCAGGTGCAAAGAAGTGAATAAATGGTAACCCTTAGTTCATGATTTTCATAGTTTGCTGTCATTTTTGGCCAATGCCTGGCCACCTTTTTATTTTTAATAATATTTTGAACCTCCGTGAACAGATTTCACTGCTTGACTCCAGTCTACTTGTGTGCTTCTTTCCTACTAAGTCCCTGACTTTCCCCAACCACTATCTTGAATTTGTGTTTATTATAATTTCGCTTTAAACAAAAATAGTGTCATCCCATTATGCCTGTATGTCTTAACACGTATAATAAGCTGACTCTGAAAAAACAGGCCCTGATTTGTAGCATTTGTTCCCACACTTTAACATGGCCAACCAGCTGTCGACATGACATAACTGAGTGCAGAGTTGGGAAGAGGAGCACAGAGTGAGCTCCCCTGAGCCAGCAGAGCCCAGCCAGTGGAGCACACAACTGAACACACACTGTTTTATTTTTGTTGTTCAGACCACATTGTGGTCATAATTTTTATTTCCTTGATAATCAAAGAGATTAAATGGCTGTTATATGTTTATCAATCATACATTTATTAATCATATGTTTCTGCTTAGAAATGTCCAAATCTTTTTCCTATTTTAAGATCAGATTTGCTTAATGATTTGTAAGCATCCTGGTTTTATTTTGGTTTTTTTAATGATACTGGGGTTTGAACTCAGGGCCTCACATTTGCTAGGCAGGTGCTCTACCACTTGAGCCACCCCCCAGTCGTATAGGCAGTCTTCATGTATTCTTGATAACCAGTCCTTTGTCACAAACATGTCTTAAAGATGTTTTTTGATAAACAGAAGTTCTTAATTTTAAAATTCGGTGCTTTGCATCTTGTTTTAAAATATTTTGTAGAATTACTTTATATAGTCATAGTTCCTAGTTCAGAGCCAGATAAATTGTTTTTCTATCAAGTTTTCTATATATAGAACCATCTCAATGAAATCTACCTTGATTGATTTACAAGCAATATACTCAGCTTAGATCTTAAATTATACTTTAATGTTACATTATGGCAATCAAAGAAAGATTAGGAAAAAGTGGAAGGGAGAATTTAAATAAAGATACAGAGAAATATGAAAGAGATGAGGAGGGTGGAGAAATTAAAAAGACAAAAGAACTCAGAACACACTGCAGATGCCAGGTGATGTCGTCATAACCTCAGGTTTGCTTATGCTCCAGGTGAGTGAACCACAACACAAGGGGGAGTAGGAAGCCATGGTTCTCTTCTGGTTTCCACCCTGTGGATCTTCATCTCAGCCTCAGTGTGTAACAGAGTACAGTTTAAGATAACTCTTCAGGGACATAGTTATCACATAAAGCAAAGTGTATGTCTAAGGTCCTGCTTTTCTGTGAGGACTTTATAGGGTCATTTCACATAATTTTAAAATTACAGAAGTGATGCATACTCAAGAAGTAGAAGAGAAAAATCACTGCAGTCCCCATTATCTATGGGTAATTCTCTTAGATTTTCTTTATTATTTGACTTCTCAGATACATGTGGATCAGGATAAAACAGAAGCTTATAAAATTTTCTACACGATTATTCCTACAGATTGCTATTGATGCAATTAATATTGCTGTGTTGGCAAGCAAGAAAATTTACAATATATTTTTGGATTCCATGAATTCTTTCAAAAGAAAATGAGCCAGGCTCTTCAACTGCGTGGAAAAAGGCTCCGTGAGATGACTGTCAGTTTTAGGAGAATCTGGAATTCGATTTTTATAACTTTCATATGTGACAGAGCACCTGTAAGAACATAATGGTATTCTCAGTCCACCCACGAAATTGGCATGTTTAATTCAATACATGAACTCTAACTACTACCATTATTTTTTTTAAAAAGGCAAGAGATGTAAATCCAATCACATACATGTTGTATAAACAAAGTTAACAATTTTTTTAAATGGGTATACTACTTATTTGCTTTGCTTGACTCTTGAAGGGTACCAAAGCAATACAAAAATATGTTATCAAATAAAAATTAGAGATCCAGGTACGGTGGTGCATACCTGTAATTCCAGCACTAAGGAAAGAGGATTAAGAGTTGGAGACCAGCCTGGGCTATTTTAGCAGAGAAGACCTTTCTAGTCTACAGGAAACTTGGGTTCCATGGTTTGAGAGAAAACCATCTATAATGGTAACTCTCATCTTTTTTTCCTTATTCTTAGTAGCATCATGGCTGAATATACTCCCATGAGTATAATTTTTTTACAGGAAACGTAGATTAAGGCTTATGCACAAATTCCTCTTTGATAGCAATAATGCTAGACCTTTCCTTTCCACTCATGAGTGTACATTGGAATGCAATTTTTAATTTTTAGAACTCACATTAAACTTTCCCTAAAAGAGCTAGGTACAGTGACTTACATCTATAATCCCAGCTACTCAGGAGACAGAGATTGGGGAAGATTACATTTCAAGGGCAATCCAGGCAAAAAGTTAGTGAGATCTCATCTCAACAAACAAGTTGAGCATGGTGGTTCATAACTGTAATCCAAGCTACATGGGAGGTATAGGTAGGAGGCTTGCCATCTATGCCAGTCCAGGTAAAAACACAAGACTTATCTGAAAATTAACCTAGAGCAAAAAGTGATGAAGATGTGGCTCAAATGGTAGAACACTTGCTTAGCAAGTAGAACACCCTGAATTCAAACTCCAGTACTGCAAAAAAATGAAAAATAAAAAAAGAAAGAAAAGAAAAAGAAAATCCACTAAAAGAAAAAATTATTCATATACTTCACAAATTTGAATTACTTTTTTTTGGATGGTACTGGGGTTTGAACTCAGGGCCTCACACTTGCTAAGTACTTGAAGAAAAAATTATTCATATACTTCACAAATTTGAATTACTTTTACTATGTTTTTTTGAATGGTACGGAGGTTTGAACTCAGGGCCCCACACCTGCTAAGCACTTGAGCCACTACCACTTGAGTCAGTCCACCAGCCCTGTTTTTTGTGATGGGTGTTTTCAAGATAGGGTCTACTGAACTATTTGCCCATGTTGGCTTCGAACCACAATCCTCCTGACTTCTGCCTCTTGAGTAGCTAGGATTATAGGTGTGAGCCACTGGCACCCAGCTTTTGAATTACTTTAGTAATAAGTTAATACTACTCATGTATTATAGATTATGGTGATAATGTCTTTTGTATTTTAATAGAGCATTAGTATGTTAACTAGTGTTCATCCTGTGTGGCTGAAGCATAAGTTAGAAGAATCTCAAGAGCCCTGTGTATCTTGTGATGACCCTCAGATGAGACATCTGGGATCCCTAGATTGACTGGAGTGTCCAGTCTTTGGAAAGGGGTTCTGGAGAGAGTCCAAACTTGAGAACTCTTGTCAAGCCTGCTTTTCTTACCTTGCTGCACTGTGAACTTAAACCACCAAAAAATGTACAGCTGAGTTCCCAGCCAACAGGTTAAATCATGACCAGTTAATTTTCTGGGGCTTTTTCTCGATCGTCTTAAGTTTTTATCCTTATATCTTAGGTTTATAAAATTCTTGAAGTCCTTGAAATGAGCTCATTTGTATTTCAGTGGACTCCGTGTGTATTCTCTATCCTCAAAAACATTTAGGAATAAAATAATTGATTTAGAAAGAATGCTATTTAATTGGAAATTTTTTTTAATAGATTTTGAAAGTATGACCTTCCTTGAAACTGAGCAAGGAAAACCATTCATGTCAGTGTTCAGACATTTAAGGTTACAGTATATTATTAGTGATCTGGCTTCTGCAAGGATTATTGAACAGGATTCTCTAATACCTTCAGGTAAGAGAGCATGGTGAATTTATGATTTTAACTAAAGCTTTCTTCATTATAACAGTAATATGTATCTTGGAAAAGAGGAGATTATCCTTAATCCCAAATGGTATACCTTTTTATGCCCAAGTGGAATCGTACTATCTAAATAATTTTCTGTGCTCACATTGTATATCATGGGCATTTTCCCATAACATATTTCACTAAAATACTCTCCAGAATATTTTAATGGCTAAATAGTATTCTGTAGTATGAATGTTGTTTTTTCTTTTCTCTGTGGTGCTGGAGATGGAACCCAGGGCCTTGCACATGCTTGGCAAGCACTCTACCACTGAGCTGCATCCCAGCCTTTGCTTTTTTGAACAGGATGTAGTTATATCACCCAGGTTGGCCATGAACTCTTGATCTGCCTCCCTCTGCCTCCCAAATGCTGGGACTACAGGTATGTGCCACCACACCTAGCTGTGGATAATCTTTCATTTGATTAGCCAGTAGACAATTTTGGATCTGACTTTTAAAAATGACTTTTGATGTATTTAAAAGTCCTAATTGTGTTTTCTATTAGTATTCCTAAATTTGCTTATTTTGTGGCTTTTCCTCAAAGTCTTAGACATCATATTGATTAAATGAAGTATAATATCTTAATTATAACTTAAATATTTTAAAACAACTGATTTTCTAAGTAAAATCTGTGGTGTTTATGAAAGCCTCGGGTTAGTAATATATAACCATATTAAAGCACTTGCCTAGCATGCACAAGGTCCTTGGTTCCATTCCCCAGCACTGAAAAAAAAGGCCTACTACTCTATAAGAAATAGAAATGTAGGGCTGGTGGAGTGGCTCAAGTGTTAAGAGAGCACCTACCTAGCAAGCATTAGGCCCTGAGTTCAAACCCCAGTACCACCACCAAAGGAAGGAAAGAGGAAGGAGGGAGGTAAAAAGGGAGGGAGGGAGGGAAAGAGAAATAGAAATAAGCAGTCCTGTAATAGTTTTAGTATGGTTAAACCCTTGATCCTAGCAAACATATAATATTAATAATAGATCCCAAGACAAATTACATGTGCCCATTCCTTTTAAGGTTCTTCAGAAATAAATTTGCAAAGATACTGAAAAGTGTTCTAAAATATTTTTGGAATTCAAGATGGGTATAAGATTTCTAGTCTGAAATATTTTATTCAGCATAAAACTAAAAAGAATTTAGATCTTATATTCTGGCCAGATTTCAAGTATTTTTTTCTGATTTGAAATTGTTAGGAGAAGGCTATTTAAAATTTAGAGTTTTAAAAGCAGGATAGAAATTAAAGTTACATATCACATTGTTTGTGAAGGGGCAAAAAGTGGCCACGTAGCTCACATAACTGATGTAGATGGATATATCCTCTCAGTAGGGAAGTTTCTTAAATTTGAAATAAATTGAGAACTGGGGTAGGGTACCTGCACAAGACCATGGATTTGTACTGCAGCACCGTAGAGAGAGAGAGAGAGAGAGAGCGATCAAAAAATTTTAGGCACAGTTGAGTTCCATTATTTCATGAAGTTAGATTTATCTCAAGTCAGCTCATTGAATGTCTTATTCCATATTCTCATTGTCATACTACCCTCCACTTTTATGTCTCTATCTTACTATCTTTCCTCTCAAACATTTCTCTTATTTGCTCTGGAATCAGGGTCAACAAAATCGCAAAATCTTCCTTCCTTCCCTCCATGTATTTTAGCTCTTCAGAAGATGCTGTTGTCTCTCTGTGTCTCTCACCCTGCTAACATAGGGCCAGGAGGTCAGATAGTCACAGTTCTAGTACCTCATGCCCTTCCCAAAGCAGTATTGCATGTAAGCTGACCCTTCATTTCTCCACGTTCATTTAAGATTTGGGACGCTTGATTTACTGTCTATTTTGCCAATCCAGTCACAATAATTTGTGCATATGAACAATCCATTTAATCCTCTACCTTCTAGTTATTTGACTTGAACTACAATGATGTTTATTTTTGCAGAACATTAGGCACTTGCCACCATGGAAACACCATGAACCTTGTTGTAACCCAAAATTGCTCAGCATCAGAAATCTAGTAGTTTTCAAGCTATTGTATAACCAGCTATTGTTATAGCCTCATGCCCTTTTACAGTGTTCCAAACCTTGTAAGCCCTCCACTTTCTTACCAGTTTTTCAAATCTCTCCTGCCTTTTCTTCTTTCCTGGTGGCCTTGAATTTCATGGGCGATCATGATTGGTCACTGTCATGATTGCCTTCATTTCCGTGTTCCTTACACGAGGTAAAATCCTAAAACTTAATTAAACCTTTGTTCCTATACCCTTATCTTTGTGCAGAATACTAAGCAGAGTATTCTATAACTCTTGTGTGGGTGCCACTGCAAATTCACGTTCCTGTTAATTTAGAGATTGCATGTTTCCCAAAATCATTAATTGTTATTTTTAGATAATTTAATAAAAGTCCAGTATTCAGTTTCCTAGAAGACTTTTTATAAAAATTGAAAATATAGTTATTCACAAATGAAAATTAATACAAACTGAAAAGAAAATTGTTAAATGCATGCACATGCTTTTAACTGAGGATTAAATCATAATTTAAGTAGAGTCTGGTCTGAGGCAAAACTGGATGATTTTTACCTCTTTAAAGAGCATACTGTTACAGCACATTTGTAAAGTAGAAGCTCCTGCTTTTTTTGTTTGTTCGTTTTTGAGGCAGGGTCTTACTATGTAGCCCAGGCTAGCCTTGGATTCACACAATCCTGAGTGCTGGGATTGCAGATGCACACTACCACACCCTGCTAGGTACATGCTTTTTAAATTGGTATTTTAAACTTGAATTTAGAAATAATAACAATTGGATGTGAGTACTAGGATTTGAACTCAGAGCTTTATGCTTGGCACTCCACCATTTGAGCCATGCTCCCAGCCCAGAAATGATAATAATTTTATCAATTACTTAAAATGTTCTTTCATTTTTGTATATTGTTTACTAATTAATGTTTACACTTTAGAATGGCTATCTTCTGTGTATAAACAGCAGTGGTTTGCTATGCTCCGGGCAGAACAAGACAGTGAAGTGGGGTAAGTATTTATGCCATATTACTGTTCATTTAAAATTTTAATTTTTTTTTTTAGTGGCAATGTTTGGGGTTAAACCCAGGGCCTGGTACATCTTAGGCAAGTGCTGTAGTACTGACCTACATACCCAGTCCAAAAAAAAAAAAAAATCCTCTTGCTATGAATTTTTAAATGTATTCATTATATTGAAAAAATCAGTATTATTTTGGAAACTCAAACTGGTGGGGTAGAGAAAAGATCATATAATCAACTTTCATTCTTACATTTTTATAACATCAAACTTACAAATATCTTTCTGCCAACTAGGCTGTATAACAAAATGTTTGAATTGTTGCTTTCTATATTCATAAAATGAATAGTTCATATAATTTGTTTCATCTAATATTGTATTATAATTTTCTTTTGGAATAATACTTTCATAAGACATGATTTTTATACTTTTGTATAGATAAAACTAATTTTCATATTGGGGTATAGTGTCAAATTCTAATCAATAAAGAGATTTTTGAAGATCCTTGAATCAAATGAATTTTTTTTTCTTTTATTATTCATATGTGCATACAAGGCTTGGTTCATTTCTCCCCCCTGCCCCCACCCCCTCCCTTACCACCCACTCCGCCC